CTAACAATCATAATGTATGTAAATGAGTGAAAGATGTTGTGTTGTGTATATAAATACACATCGATCTAGTAGAATAAATCTGTTCAATTTGACGCAGATGTCACGTTACTAATCCTTATATCATATTCATTCGATCATAGACATGATTATTTATTCCATTCGAAAACTAGAGTCACAGATAAGACATAATGGGGGGTATACTTGGTGGTGAGATGTACCCAGAGCAACCATTAAGTTCCATATTTCGACTTAGAGGCCATTGAAAATTCAGCATTAATGCTTTAGAAATGTTGGTAAATAAACCCCGACAAAAAGCCAGAATGTCATTTTTTAACTCTTTTTGCATTTTAAATTTATTACAAGGTCATTTTAAAAGCAATCCACCCTAATTCACAACAGAAGCGACGTCGTATCCCAAAATGTGGCATTTTATCTGCTAAATTGAATGAAATGAATTCCTGTTTCACATTTTCTTCCAAATAACAGGGTTTTTTTTCGGGTGCAGAATTCACAATAAAAATTTCGCCAGATTATTAAAGATTTCAAAAAGTTTCGACGAATTATATTCTATAAGAATCAATGCCTTTTTAAAAATATCTTTAGAATATTGGTGTAAAACCAGAGATCAATTCAATACGCTGTACTCTTTTACTACACTTAGGTAAGATTTTCTTTTAAAATTCTGAAAAGGTTTAACCCAATGAGCACTATTGTGACCTTTATTATTTGCTATATCTGCCAACGATATTGCAGTATTGGGTTTTCGTAAAAAACTTTAAAATCTATAGCCATAATATTATATGCGAATAGAAAATTCAGCAAGGAAAAAGCAAGGAGCCCTTTTGCGACCCTTACCATTAACTACGTCTTTTAACGATATTGCAATATTGGACGTTGTTTAAGGTAATGGATAACCTTTGGATCTGTACCTCGTGGCGTAACAAGACTTAATTTGTTTATGTTTCCTCAAATTGGAACAGGATGTTCGTCTTTTCAACGCCACAAAATAAGTGAACAAACTATTAAATTGTGTTTTTTCAGAGATTCAAAATGGCAGCGTTTATGAAAGTATTAATGACGATGTGTTTCGTATGTGCTCTTACATATGGTAAGCTTTTTCCTAGTCTAATTTTTGACGTTACTATAACAAATGCCATTCGAGCCAAGTTTTTTTAAAATTCAAATGGTCTCTTGCTTGTCTGAACGTCGTACTCACTCTCTCAGAGAGACTGAGTTTGCATATAAGCATCTCTTTTAGGGAGTTCACATAGCTAATGTTGTGTGTGTGGTATATAAATTGCAGGAGATGAAGGTGAGTGGACAGAATTCATAAAGGACACACATGACCACCCCGATCACAGAGACGGCATCATCTCAACTCCAACAGAATTCGCCAGTTTGAGAAAACTCTTTTTAAATGAGGGCATACAGATTGGTGTCATCAACGCCGCCATTACAAATATGGATGACAACAGAGATGGTCAGATTGATGGAGAAGGTCAGAGTCGTTTGTATTTTGTTCTTTCCTAAATCAAATCATCATGGAGTTGGAACACCTGCTGTGGCTCTGAGACTGTGTATGTCAACTCGGAATACATTCGGAGGAGTCTGCAAATGTTTTAAGCAACCACGCAAGACCATAACATTGAAAATGAAAACTTTAATGTCACAAGGTAACAAAAGGTCTTGTTTTCTATGGGATGGGGCGTTCGAATCCCAAAAAACTCATTACCTTATGTCTTTTCCATTACAGAATATGCAGAGATGAGACTGGAATTGCTCCCTATCTCTAAAATTGCATGAACAGAAACAACACATAAAGAAGACAATGGAAATCTAGTACATTTCAATAGATAAAAGCATGGAATTATATCAAAGTTTTATTAATATTGTCCCATTCACAATTGTCAAATGAAAGACGTCGCCCCTTTAAAGCTTTAAATAACATAAAAGGGGAAATTAAAAGACATTAAGCCTGCGCATTGACTTAACAAACTGGCAGATCAAAATAAATGACTTGTTGATAGAGACTAGGATTATACTTATTGTTATAACATAATCCCATTAACAATGGAGATAATCCTCACTGGATAATCGGATCAAAATAAGGACTACCGTTAACAATTTCGCAGAATATGCCGACTGGATAATATACAGTGTAGATCAAATCAAGAATATCAAATCCGCATTATCGTTATCCAAAGATATTTGCATGATATATCGTTTAAACGAAAATGTATAACGAATGAATGCTTCGGGTTGGCGAAGATGAGTTTGTCGTAAATGACCATTTAACTACAATAGAAAAGGGATATTAAACATCTTCCCAAACCATAGGGGAATATCAGACGCTCAAATAAAATAGAGTGGAGATTTACGTCCAACTTTTCAGCACATTGTATTACATAGTAAACAGATGTTAATATTTCGGTACAAATTTTGTTTTTCAAGGGAGGTAACTCCTGGTAGGAAAAAATAGTAAATAAAGAAAAATCAAGTTGTTAAGAATTGTTTAATCTTCTGTTACAAATCAGATTACAAAGAAATGGAATTTAGTACATTGTCCTACGTTTCCTGATCATACTCATGAAGATGACCATTGCCTTGCATGTACAAAGAGACCTTTTCTAGAGCAGCGTCATTTCTACGGCTACTTGTCGACGGAACTTTAACGTGTACAGCCTGGACCTCGATTTATATAATAACATAATAAAATGTATAAACCCTTTCACTTAATTCCTATTTAAGATTATCCGTTAATCCACTAATCTGTTAATCC